AGGGAGCTGAACACTTTATAGGTACATTGAAAAGAAATGTTTACTGAAAAACGTTTTGTAACGGGTTTTTTTCTCACACGTTGGAAGTCATCAAACGTTGGCGGCCATTTCTTGCTCGTTTTTTTTCCTTCTGACACCAGCTAGGTGACCCCCCCCCACACACACACCTCCTTGACTCGCAAATATCTCCACTTCTACTTGAGGCAGATATTTTTTTTCTTCTCTGTCTGTCTGTCTGTCTCTGTCTCTGTCTCTCTCTCTATCTCTCTCTCTCTCTCTTTCTCTCTCTCTCTCTCCCCCGTCCCCGTCTCTCTCTCCTTTTCTCTCCCCTCCCCCCTCTCTCTCGCCCATGCACTTTCACTGACTCAATGACGAACAGACTGACTGACGGACGGACAGACTGTCGGACTCACCATCTTTTAGTTTCAGTAAGAGTTCTACAGCACTTGCAACCCAATAAGGTCATATAAGAGCGGGAGATTAAAGGTGTTACAAGAGAGTAACAAACACAAAAAGGAGCAGGGGAGATAAAGACGATAGATGTTTGATAGGAAAGGAAAAGCACACCACACCAGAGCACCCGCCAACAACCCATGGACTCACCATCTGCCACTCCAACATGTAGTATGTCACACCTCGATGTAACAGGGGACAGATAGACAAACAGACATACATACAAACATACAGACAGACAGACAGACAGATAAACAGACAGACAGACAGGCAGACTCACCATCTGCCACTCCAACATGTGGTATGTGACGCCTCGTTGTAACAGGGGACAGTTGTGGTGGGTCAGATTCCGGGAGTAGCTGGCGACAGACACAAACATCGGGCCATTACAGACACAGACATTGGGGCATTACAGACACAGACATCGGGTCATTACAGACACAGACATCGGGTCATTACAGACACAGACACAGACATCGGGTCATTACAGACACAGACATCGGGTCATTACAGACACAGACACATACATCGGGTGATTACAGACACAGACATCGGGTCATTACAGACACAGACGCAGACATCGGGCCATTACAGACACAGACATCGGGTGATTATAGACCCAGACATCGGGCCATTACAGACACAAACATCGGGCCATTACAGACACAGACATCGGGTGATTACAGACACAGACATCGGGCCATTACAGACAGAAACATCGGGCCATTACAGACACAGACATCGGGTGATTCAGACACAGACATCGGGTGATTACAGACACAGACATCGGGTGATTACAGACACAGACATCGGGTGATTACAGACACAGACATCGTGTGATTACAGACACAGACATCGGGTGATTACAGACACAGACACAGACATCGGGTCATTACAGACACAGACACAGACATCGGGTCATTACAGACACAGACATCGGGTCATTACAGACACAGACACAGACATCGGGTCATTACAGACACAGACATCGGGTCATTACAGACACAGACACATACATCGGGTGATTACAGACACAGACATCGGGTCATTACAGACACAGACACATACATCGGGTGATTACAGACACAGACATCGGGTCATT